ACAAAGGGAGGCTATGGTTATGATGGAAAGATGCACAGTGGGTTCGATTGATGAAAATATCAAATTAACAAAAAATACTTTGATGGATTTAAGATATTTGCAGCACTTTCTGTTTGAAGAGTAAGATTTATTTTTTGACTGTAGAGACATCAAGACGGAGCGGAGCGGAGCAAAAAAGTGTTTTGAATAACCAATCAGATTTCTTTATTTCCACATCTCTTCTCCGCACCGCGCCGCCACCGCTGTCAAATTTTGTAGAAAAATTCTTCCGCCCGACACTTCTCCGCTTCGCTTTGGTGGAAACTGGGCCTAAATCAGCTAAATATAAACATAATTTCAGGTGTCGTCGTCGTTATAATCACATGTTCCTCGCTAGTCTTTTAGCTAGCATTTTATTGCTAGCTAGCTATTTTGCACCGCCTTCTCAAATTCTCTGTTTTCCCTAAGATTAGCTAGTGGAGCAATCTATACACATGGCATTAGTTCGCCTTTTGGTACCGCCTTTTTGTGTGTATAAATAAATATTTTAAATAAATAAAATAGCATTAATGCATCTCACTTAACACCAGGTGCGATTGCGGTCAAATACCTGCCTTGTCTAGGATAAAAAAAAAAAAAAAATGAGACACGCTGATACATAGATTTTTTATAGTATTTCCAAGTAGCCTTCTGACTCTACCTTCATTATGCTATGGGGCAGTCGGCAAATAAAACTGTCGCCGCAAAACTCTACGTCGCACGTCACGTACTCCTTTATACTTCAATATCCTTAAAATTATATCGCTAAGACCTACATTCGCTTGGCAAATCCCACGAATACGGCGGTCGTTTTGTATTCAGTGCGGGATCCTGCTCTTTACGAGAGCAAGAGTTTGTTTCGAATTTCGATGGTAGGTATCGCCAGTGAAGTTTGCGCAAAGCAAGCTTTACTCCAGTATTTGATTTAGGTGTGTTACAATGTTGACAGTTGTACAGTAGTTGGATTCTGGTTTATTTTAGGTGTTAGGTACGTTCTGGTTTTATTTTGGTGGTTTGCATGCGCTATAATAGACTTAGACTTACTATTTATGGACGTAAATCGCAAATTCGCAATGTATGTATTTGGAGAATTTAAAAGCAGTTGATAGCTAGTTTTCATTGTCAGACTCGTTCGTTTCAGCCAAATGACGTCTACTGCTGGACAAAGGCCTCCCCCAAGGCTTTCTATAACGACTGGTCCTAGGCTGCCCGCATCCAGGTTCTTCCTGCGACCTTCGCCAGATCATCGGTCCACCTAGTAGGAGGCCTGCCCACGCTACGTCTTCCGGCCCGTGGTTGCCATTCGAGAACTTTTCTGCCCCAACAGCCATCGTCCCTACGAGCTATGTGATAGCTAGTTTTCATTGTCAGGCTACTTATCCATTTATATGGCAAAATAGCACTTATGTACATAAGTTCTCAGCTAGATGTGCTTTCGTCTTTACATTCATTGTTTCAGCCACATGATGTCGACTGCTGGACAGGCCTCCCCCAAGGATTTCTACAAAGACCGGTCCTGCGCCGCTTGCATCCAGTTACATCCCGTAAAACCGTTGGATAAACCTGTTGGATACCTACTACATTACCAAATAATAATTATGATAGTCACCATGAAAGTTTAAAATAAATAACAGTGCAATTTCCAGATTGGCATTTCCTAATTATTGCGAAATTTGACGTTTTCCTGATCGAATTTTTTCCTGATACTTTTAGAACATAGCAACTAAACTACTCGTACACTAATTAGGTATAAAGAGGTAAGATTGTTTGTTACAAGATTTTATTGAATTCTTTCACTACTTGAATTCAATATCATAATTTCAGATAAGATGCCCTTTTTTGCAATTGAGTCTTCATGATTATCAGCTTCTTTCAAGACCAGTCAAACGGTTAGTGGTAAAAATTTGCCAAATCTGTTAACTTAGTAGTTTACTCAATATAACAAACTGATTTTTGTTTTGTGAATGATGACTATCTACGCTTCATGGTTTTTTTTAATCATTAAATCTTCCATACGAGTGTTAAATTTGCACTTGGCCAGTTTATTTTTAGGATTTTTTTACCATTTACATACTCTTTTTAAGTGATAAATGTGCTTGTTAACAATATTTTACCGTGTTCTTGCGGCAGCATTCCGTTCCTCCTAAATTCTTTCTCTTCGCTTTATTAAATGATATAAATTCTTATTCGCGGACTGAATTTAAATTTCTGGGAGAGAAACGAATGTGTTGCAATCGGAATAGAATAATATTACGACTTCTTTTTGTTATTTATTAATCTAAATGGGGATTTGATTTTAGCAGGTTACGTTTTCAGTTCAGTTTAGTTTCAGAACATTATTTTTAATAAAAGCAAACTAGACTCGAAGCGAAACCATTTTAAAACTAATCAATCCGTTTAAGAAGTTTTTGTTAAAATGTGGGTATCATTAAAATGGCAAAAAAAGCCTTACCCTGTTATGCCAAAGTTTGAAAAAAGCACTAAATTGAATTTGAGTTCCTTAAAAACAATCTGCATTGCGTATAAAGAATTGCAGATAACGATAAAACTGATTATTTTCCATTTATCCGACACAAATCATGTCTCGTTCAATTCTCATAAGAGTTTGACACATCTCGATTAAATAGGAAAAGTGTGAAATCGATTACGGCATCAGTATAAACGAGAAATCGATTATCATCTATCGTGTCTGATGCAAATCGATTCTAGTTGTCGCCTTCACGTTGATTCTAATAGCTAAGTGTCTGTGACCTTCAATCGCAAAACTAGAGAAGACATGAAAAAAAAAACTTTAGGTACCTAGTCTAAATAAGAAACCAACAGCGTAAATTATAATGCGGAAAATAATTGAATAAATAAAAACTTTATTTGAAGCCAATTACAATTTTGCATACACCTACTGTATATTGTAGTGTTAATGACTGCTAACGAAGTACACTGTATTTAAAGTACAAATTATTTTCTACAGTATCATTTATTGGTTTAGTCGTTTTAAAGTTTGGAGTCGGTGACTGTTTTGATACCTTAATTTTTCTATCACAAAATTAATCGACCACCAAATTTTTCTATCGCTTATTGAATAAGTTTTAAGCAAACATTAACTTAAGAATTTTTACGCTTTATCGTTATTCAGTTTACTTATACAAGTATGTAACTTTCAGAGATCTAGAAATAAAGTAAATAAGAAATACAAATTTGTTCCGATAAAAAGGGATAAGATTATTGTGAGTAAGAGTTTTAAGACTCTTGGTAGGTATTCAAAAACTGAAATAATGACTGTTCATAGTTCTGAAAAAAAAGCGTACTTAGTATACCTTGTTTTTCTTTTCAGTACAAAAATGAAATCTTATTTTGGTTAGTTTTAATAGTTAAAGCTATCTGGAACCTTGACTAAATACAGCAAGCATCTTATAATTAAGCTCGAATACGTGCACGCGATGTCATCGACCACCGCCAACGTAGTCACAAACGCAGCGAAATTAGAACATAGACAAGCTAGCTAATCGATACGGTGTACATAACGAAGTATGTGATCGAACGATGGCGGCGACTCGACTCCGAACACCTGTGCCACATCACTACAGACTCCTGACAGACAAAGACGCAGATAATAAGGAGCATCCCATTGGCGCATCCGAGGCGAGGCCACGCCCCCTGCCCTCGCCGGCCAATCGCAATCGCCCCGCACAGATCTTGAGCGTTATCTAGTTATCTGCTGTCTCACTTGGCACACTGAGTGCGCTATTTTCAGAGCTCCGTCGAATGCAGCAAACAGTTCACAGGTCAATAAAAACTCTTTTCGCACTGCATTCACGTGAGCGTTCATTCCGTTTTTTTCAAACTTTTTTTCAAATGTAAACACAATGCAATTTCACGTCAGCATATTCACGTAACTGTCGCGTAAACTGTAGACCTATTGTTTACAGGCTTTGTTTTGTTTTAGACCAGTGGCAGTCCAATTGAATCGGAGACGATAAGGACGTTGGTAGCTCTCATTCAATCTCGCTTTGTTTTATTAATCGGTGTGTCGCATCGCTGGCTACCGTTACTTGACACTCCTTGCGGCGGATTCTGAAGCAAAACGCTTCAGGTTGGGATTCCCTGTGAGAGGACCTAGAGGTCTGAATAAATTGGTCGCGTTACAATCACTTATTCTAGGCACTGTCGATAACTAAAGGGCCATTGTTTGTAGGTCGATCCTGCAGTAAAATAATGTAATGATGTTATGGAAATAAAGTTTCTCATTTATGAATCTAAGCTTTATTATATGAATGAGTGACGGTTCTTGTTCCAAGAAGTAGGCCATTATGATTTTCATCGTTGTTTGTATTAGTGAGCTGATAAAGATCTTGTTTTAATTCATCCACGTGCCCTAATATAAACAATATTTCGATGTAGATTCGAGCGCTACATTTTGTATGTGCTACCTACTTTATGTGCCTAGTATATTATTTATAATTTACTTATTGTAATTTTGATTGATCAGTTTGATTTAACGTATTTCTACTAAATATAAAATAAAATAAAATAATATAATTTGAAGTTCAAAAGCAATGACTTGTGTCTCTACTAAACAAGTATACCAAATGTACCTACTAGTTTATTCCTATTTCCTGGTTGTTCAAAGCAAGCATTTCAAAACATCTTTTTTCAATTTGGATACAAAAACTCAACATCTTTTTTCAATTTGTATGCAAAAACTCTTTTGATTCTTTTAAAATCCTCCATGCCTCCTGTACAAAAGAACAAATATTTAACCAGCTCTCAATCCGAAATTCCAATTTTCCGAGGAAAAATTTTTCGCATCGTTGTCCATTGGGAAAGCGCCGCGTATTTTCAGACCGTAACCTTGTATGCGACCCCGAATCGTGTGAGAGAGAGGGGTGTAACAAAGACACAGGCGGGGCGAGGCGCGCGGGGCGGCCCGGGCTAGGGTATGTGAATTCGGGATTCTAGGGATGAGTTGGCTCTCGCTTCCTCCCGTTACTCTGGCACCGTGCGTTGAGCCCGATGCACATCGGCCCGGCACGCGTTGTCACGCTCGATTAGCGCGCGAGTAGTCGGATCACGCACATCACTACTCAATTTCAAATTTCGAACTCATTCGAATTTCAAGACGTTCCGATTGTGGTGTTGTGAAAATTATGTGTTAATTTTTTTATTGTTTTCTGATTTGTGTTACGCGGATTTTTAGAATTAGGTGACTTTTGAATGTTTATGCGTTTCGGAATGAGAAAAAAATGATGAAATATCGACAAATGCTGAACTTTGATGCGAGTCCGAAAATGAAAATTTCTGGTAAGTGCTATACAATGTGTGAAATATCTTGTGATTTTTTACTTTTTACAAACCATGTAGCAAACAACATTTACTAATAAATTCAATTAGAATTAGCAATTAGTGCGCAAGTCTATACTTATTCACAAAATAATATGTAACATTTTTTATTGTTAGTTCTCCAAAAACAATTAAAAAATATTTAAATAAAAGATCGATCTTTAACCAATAACGTATGCGTTTGCGATCTTAGTAATTTATTTAAATGATACCATAAGTGATTTTTAACGTGTGACAAATTTTACGAATCCGATATTTTTTGTAGGACCGTAAAATCAGATAAGGCCATCAATTCGCTCACTCAACCGCAAACATGAGCCGCTAACCGCTAACTTATAAAAAAAACTCAAGTGCTATCTATGGTTTTGATTCTAGTAAGGGTGTGCGAAAAAGGCCATAGACTAAGACTTTTTTATTGCTATCTTTGGCGGGACCCGCTTGCTTAAAAGAGTGTTTATTTAAAATATTTGGAACAACTTAGTGTTATTAAAACTGTTTACAATACTGCGGTGTGAAAAATACGAAGGTTTATACAGGATTTATTGGATTATTACACCTGCAGTTTTTTGTTTTTCGGCGGTGACTTTAGAAGAGATGCAAAAGTTGAGTTTGGATGTAATATTGCTATTTATTGATCTACCGAACCTATTCGGCTTCTTTAAACACTTTAAATATAACGCATAGTTTAGGCATTTAGAATTGTAAGTGCTCTGAAGCGCTTTTGGTAGTTTACAAATTGTTCGAGAATATTTTTTTCAGTATTACACTTATAATCTATGTTAAGCTTTAGTTTAACAATAGATATTTATTATTATCTGTCTGTCATTCCCAAAGTTTTTGTTTTTAATTTATCCGAAGATACATTATCACTTTTGTTGACAAAATTTTGATTACTACAATATTGTTCCTGAATATTTCACTGAATACTGAGTACTGAAAAACGTTAAAAAAAAAGGTTGGTTCCCAAGTCTTTCTTAGCTCAACTTTATGTAACTGCTTATGCAAAAAGTATCCTGCAACTAAAGTTGTAAAGGGATTAACAACATACAACAATTTTTATTTTATACTTTGTTTTCTCTTATCCAAGTTGACGCAATAAGACATAATAAAGGAATCAGATCAGAGAGTTATAACACTTATAACTTCTCTTGAAATATGTGAGGTCCTTTTCAGAGCAGTTCAGTTCAGTTTCAGTTAATACACGACACAATACAGCTTACCCTACTACCACTTCGGGACATATCAGCTACTGCTGAGTTACTCTTTCTATCTTGTAGAATCTATGATTCTTGCCAACACTTCACAAACCTCGTGAATATTGCCTGCCCTACCTACCAGTTCGGGACAATACAGTGCCGAGTTAGTTTTTCTATCTTACATAACTGAAATTCTGCCATATCTCATGCAGGATCTACAGTTCTAATGAAACCCAACCAGTGAAGGGTCAGTATTACCGGGATAAAATATCTTGAAAGTTGAATCCCGTAACGAATCTAAACAAAAGATTACTCAAGGAGTTCGAAATTGCTATCGACTGTTCATTAACATGAAAAGCCGATGGCATTAGGTATATCACGCTTTTCAAGCTGTCTTACGCCCGTATTCACAAACGATGCTTGCGTGACGCAAATCGAACTCACAGCGTTGAATTGGTTCGTGTGTCACCCTGTGCGTCCACGCGCACTATGAGACCTCATGGTAATGTTTGTGAATACGGGCGTTATTAGCTAGCGCCGAGTTAGTCTTTCTATCTTACATAACCTGTGACTCATTGTCGAGGTATAATCACAGACCTCGTGCAAAAATGCCGGGCCATTCGAATGCTTTCTAGCCATAACTTTAGCGTTAGAAAGCCTAGCTTTCCGCGAATTCCTCCCATTGTGTCCTCAAATGAATTCCGTATGTCCGATGCCGCAAATTTGCACGGATACTTAACTTTCTCAAGCTGTTTTAAGTCTTAAGTGCTGGTAATAGGAGACACTTGCCGGGTATTATGCATGGGCCGTGAACCCGGGACAGTAAAGGCAAGTTATTGACAGACTCCGTGGCTAACTCGTGAAATCGACATGCAGTGGGGTCTGGACAGAGACGATGAGACTCAAAATTCTTCAAATAAAAACATTTTTGTCTCAAATATTACCTAAATGGTTAGTGATTTCGCAAAAATCTGTATGGTTAAATTAAATAAGTTTTCCTTTAAAAGATGTTATACGCTTAATATGAACTCTATTTTTAACTCTTGTCCAGGAAAACCTTTGCATTAAATGATAGGTATGGTAAGATTATAATTGCTGAAATTGGGTACCAACATAATTAGTACTGAGTCATGAAGATTTTCATTAGGGAAAAACGATATAGGTGTTAAGGAAAATTCTCCTCGCTATTAAGTTTTAATGACCATTTTCGATTAGCACAACCTTGTCCGAAACAGTCAAACCTCCATCTCCACCCCACGCCATGTTCCCACCTCGTTCTTATTATAAATCTGGCGCATTTCCACGGAAACGGAGTTAACGACGACTCGTCACTCGTCCGCATTGTCCGCGCACGCAGTCGCGGCAAATGGACAACGCACGCTCATTTGAATTTGAAATTCGAACGACAATTTTAGCGCTGTTTGTTAAAAACTGGCCAGTACCTGATAAATAAAAAAACAAAGATTTTATTTGTATTTTAAAAATCATAATCGTTCTACATTTTAATGATATTCGAATTTTGAATAACACTTTTCGTAGTCGACATTTTTTTGTGCAAACTGGCCAGTGCCATCCGTCAAACAAAAAAAAACTATGTAAATAATAAAACACAATCAATCATTCTAATTTATAATATCCAATTATTTAGGTATAGGTAGGTACCTATTGTCTTTTGTGATCGTAGAGAGATGTAAATGAAATTAAGTACATTGAGATTTGTAAAGCATCATTAGCATGAGTGATCAAGGTATTATTTATCTGCATCCAATAATATCCGTGAACATTTGAATCGTACGACAGGTGACCTAGCAACCGAGTTCAAGCAACCTCTCAAATTAAATGGGATTATTCTTCCACCTTCCCGTACATCCTGCGCGTTGTGCATCGGAACTGCTCCTTTGTCATGCTAAGCAGTTATCATTCTCCTTTCACGGCTATCATCGTGGTGATGTTAGTTGGTCGATAGTTTGATATCGATAAAATTGACTAAAATAATAATTAAGAAAAGTTTCCTAAAAATATGAACATGACATGTTGTCACACACGCGATTTAGTAAAAGCTGAGGCAAAGCCTGAATAGCATTGTTATAAAACCAATTAGGTTAAATAGGTAAAATTTATAAAGTTATATGTATTAAACGGACCACTACTTTGCTGGGTTATAATTATTTCATGATGGTTATAAAAAGTTTTTACAATTTTTAATTCCATTCTATTTGCGGTATCTATCTAGGATTAACAAATCCTAGATAAATTCTGAGGCACTAAATATTACCTGCAGCAGGTAATATGAATGCTCATCAAAAATATTAGGTGTATTGATAGACAAAATAGAGCTACATAATCGATTATCATAAATACACGAGTTAATCGAAGCGCATCACTATTTTATAGCGTTTTTTTCCAGCCACGTGTTCGGAAGCCTCGCGGACAAGATATGGGGTTGTTTTAACAACTATATTAGCGGTAATGGGGCGAGTAATATGATTTATAGTGTGTCTCTTACAGCTGTATTTGCTTAGGGACTTTATTGATGGCACGCGTGTTCCTTCGCTGAGCACACATCCTTTTGTTAGTGTATTTGTCGTATAATATCTAATAATTATGGTTACTGTTAGTCATTGTTAGGTTTGTAATCGTGTAGTAAAAAAACTTCGACAGTCACAAAACAGTTATGCTGCATGGATTTCGCTTCTATTCTTATGGTATGAAGGATACAGATAACGAACCTAAAATTATTAAGATTGTTTTAATAAAGAGTTCTAATGTCTCACCTTGTCCAACCATTTGCCGGTCTTCTTTTACTTGGGGTCACCAAAGTTCGTGACACTGGCCACTAACAAAAAAATAAAAAACAAACGTTTAAAAATAGAACATCAGCTGTCTGCGCATGAGCATTCGTCACCGTCGTTAACCTCTATTTGACTACGCCAATGTCTGGCAAAATCACGTCTAGTTGCGTCAAGATAACGGTCAGGCCATAATATGATAGTCTCCAACGCGTCTGGGTTGGAATATGACGTCATTTTAATATACCTATTTACTAAAAACGCGACATGACACGCTCTTTTAACGGTTGATGGACGACTCAACGACTCGAGTGTTTTGTCATTTAGATAAAAACCTTGTTGGCTCCGGAGTGTCTGTTCTTAAGATAGTTAAAAACTTGTCATAAGTGACGAAGTCTAAACTGCTAATTTTAAACATCGGATTAGGTTTGTAAAATATCTCAACTATTTACTAAGGTGCAGTTTACCTATATTCATTTGTAAAACTTGGTATATAACAGTTTTTAAAGAATTTTTCAGACTATTTCACTATCTTCACTGGCAGGTAAATTAAATGATTTTAAATAAAGATACCAATTTAGATCTTATGGCTCTATTATGTAGAGCGTCTTCGTAATTTTTATTTCTTTTGATTGTCGCGGGATTATCATTGAAATGAAATAGTTGTCCCGCAAGCTTGATTTTAATATAGTGATCATTAAAAACAAACCAGACAGACAATATCATCATCTCGATTTGCATTCCACGGGGATGCTCAGACGAGAGACAGGCGGAAGCGCTTTGTGCACGCCGGAAACGGACACAATAATGCCTCCATCTTGCACGTCTTCATTTTTTGAGCTTTTTATTCGCGTTCAAAAAGCGCGGGGAGCGTGTTGCTATGTCATTTGGCACTGGGATTAAGCGATTTGTCAAGAAATATTTTTGGTTGGTTGTGGCTAAAATATCATGTTATCAAATGTTACTGTGTTCTCAATTATTCAGATACATATATCGAACTTTTTGTCTGTATATTTAAAGTTTTCATTTAAATATTTGCCACAAGTACGATTTTACAAGAAGATTTTGTTAGAACGTAATACCCGTATCGATCGTATTGTAAAAAGAATTTTTGCAACACATCTTTGGCTCAATCGCACCACCTTTAACCGTAACTATAACGATAACCGGTGTAGTTTGTATGGAGTTCGGCAGAATTTTGACGTTTGTTAAAGTTAATGTAAAATAGTGCATCCCAATCTTAGAGTTTTTATTTGCAAACATTCTAATATAAACTTTCTTGTCCACAGCAGCAGACAGCCAGGGTTCTGGCAGCCCGCCTCCGAGTCCCACCGACTCTGTGGCATCAGAATCAGCGCCTACCCTCGTCCACATCAAGCAGGAAAACATGCCTCCCGGTACAGACATTAAAGACTATTATGGCTCGATCGACTTCGGCCTGCCCGATACATACATACCACCCACCTACCCTGAATACGGCCCAGGCTTCGGAAGACCACTGGACCTACAGAACCAAAGATATCTCGACCCAGAAAAGAGCCCAAAAGACAAAGAAGATTCCAAAGATGATGATCATACAGAAAATCCAAATCTGAATCTACCTAACGAATTAGTTCTGAAAGGGAACGGTGTGTACGCAAGAGCGACTGTATCGGCAGGTACGAAATACGGGCCCTTCATCGGAAAGTGGGGAACACAGCCGCTGGATCCAAAATACGCTTGGGAGGTAAGTTTTTCAATTTGGTGATGACAAGGCACTCTTTTTAAAGAACACTTATGTCGGGTCAAGTGTAAAAATTAAACGTCAGAAACCGTCTCGTTAATAAATTACGCTCGAAACTGAAACGTATCGGACGGATGCAATAAACTGTCGATTTTATTGATGCCCTTAAGTAGCCGTGTTCGAGTATCCTTTTTTGTGAGGAGTTACACGGTTCGTTAGGTTAGTTGGTACAATATTTTAACCGTGTAATTGTTTTTGACGGACGTTTTTTGGTTGAATGACACTTGGGTTATAATAATTCAAACTTAGGATTGGGTTGAAGAAAGTTTTGTGGTTAATAACTAGGTGACAATGACAATGTAGATTTGAATTTTGATAATTTTGAATGCGTCTTGAGTATCCAATCCATATTATAGTCAATATTTCCAGTGAATGATCATGAATTGGCCATTCCGATGGGTTCGCGAATCTGGTTGCATCAGGGCGTGGTGGCCGCGATTATCTGTCGGAGGAAACGGAAGTCAATTGTTGGGCTCTGCTCCTGGGTTACGCGAATAAAAGTATTGAGTTTCTTGCAATTTTGGGAAACGTGACCTGATGCTGCCAACATTTTTAAAATAGATTTGAGAATTAATCTTATTTTTTTGAAGTATTTAAGTATAGCATAGTCGTTTTATGTTAATGTTATCTCGTCTATTAGAATTTACTTATCTACATAAGATGTGCCAGTGTTTGTCTTAATATACCGTTTTACGTAACATAATGATTTCGTTGATTATACGAACATGAACTAGCTAAGTAGCCAATACGCCGATGGCTCTAACACAGTTCATTTAATTTTATTAACTCAAAACTTTTAATAGAGTCGTGAATAACTATCGTACATTTTATCTAGCGATTAAACGTCCACAATTACACCTAAAAACGCCGGAAGCTCTACAATGGTCCGCAAAGATGCGCAAGCGCCGATCGTATGTCACAGTGATAGTTCACAGTGCGGGTGTTGTGTTACATAAGACCATTGTCACGGTCGGACATTCAGTTCCGGCGTGACAAAGGCGCTGTTTAACTGGCTGTCAATATATTTATTATCAATGTCAAAGTTGCATAATAAGGACAGTGGCCAGTTTGAGTGCAATCCCAAGTGAGCATTGTAAAAAATATTATTATTAGGTATACCACACGTAACATTATCTAAGTAGTATACTACTTAAGTTTTCGTTTTAATCGTAAGATGACTAACCCATTTAAAATTATTACAAGAACATTTTTTTTCCATTTAATTGCGTCATTCTTAGTACAATAAAACTTGACGTCATTTTGAAAATATTTTTTTTTAATTCAAATCCATTTCAATGACATTAGATAGTTTTAAAAGTTTGCAGTTTTTTTTGGTTCTCACTTGGGCCTTATTTTGTAAGTTTCATTGACAAGGTTAATTCTTTAAGTAGTTATAAACATATCTTAAACTAAAAGAGCTTAATATATCAAAGATGTTTTTAATAACACACAGCGCCTTAAACAATTTTGCGGTTTACAATTCACCGCACAGAGAATTGCTTGATCCCTGTACGTGTCTCGGCGTAAAAGTGCCAATCGCCGCACCATTAGCGAGCGCTGACCACGCTTCCGAACCACTGCTGCCTTTGATGCGGTCAATGCAATAATGCTTTGACAGGGACAAAATGGGATGACGCTGTCAAAAGTTAGAGCTGGGGTCATTTGGGGCTAGCTTTAGAACTGTTAAACACTTGCGGTGATAGCTTTTGGAAAAAATGTCTTTGCTACCAAATAAGAAAGAAGCTTTTAGAGAGAACTTTGCATTCCGTTGAAAAATACGATATCATCATATTAAGATTGAGTCCATTAAAGACAAATCTTTCTTTGCATAATCTTTCAATGTTGTCTGGAAAAAACGGATTACTTAAGTTAAATCTGACAACTGTTTGAGAATGAATAAATAGATACAGTTATGATGTAGAAATGTTGTTATCTCGGCTAGGTATCGTAAACGTTGATAATTTATACTTCATACCTAGTTTACAGTGATAAATGTTTTTATTTTTTTCACATAGAAGAAACGTTCGTAGATACAGCTTATTTCACCAGCAAAAAGAATAAAGATTTGAAAGGATTATTTCTTTACAATAAGTTCACATGTCTGAGTAAACTTAAAGGGGTTAGCGCATTGTTGAATCAGTGATGGTAACTTTATCTAACCACCGTTTCCCAAATCTCGATATCTCAATAAAATCTTCCGCAAAAAAACTATCCGGGTAATCAATGCAATACCCGTCCCGTGTCAAAGTGCAATAAAGGTTGCGTACAAATAAACCCTAATTTTGGTTTAGGCGTGACCCCCGTCAACGATTTTTTATTCAAAATTTACACTTTTTTTACCAAAAAAGACGATAGGTAACGGTAAAACTGACAAAGAGGGATGTCACCGAATTCAAACTTTAAAATGAAAACTTGATTGGCGGGTTTTTTTACAATTAAAAAGACCCGGAATCTCTTGAAACGCATCTTGTGTGCAATTCGCTGGATAATAAAACTTTTAATTCAATTACCACTTTGCAGATGTGCAAATGTTTTCTCACAAGTCTTAAAGAATCCCAATATTTCTCATGTATAATTAACCCTTAAAGAGACCACACAGATAGTTATTCAAATTAATCAAAATACAATTGTAATATTAGCTAAAAAGTTTTGAGATTGGAAGAATCATCACTAAAATGAATATCATAATGAGATAAACCGGTTCAGAATAAAGAGATCATCGCAGCAAACGTCAATCAACTTATGAATCTATAATTTAATTTAATTTCATGGGATATTATTGGCACAATTGACATGGAATTGGCAACATCAGCTAATTATTATTTCAAATTTCGATTGGAAAGCTTTTATGAATTAAAAATGTGGAACTAGTTAGTCCCATTTGCATTGGATGCAACAACGCGTATTGGTTATGAATAATTTAGTGGACTTCTATTGATTTTGCTGAGCGAAGCGTCGGTGCTCGAGTAATAAGTCAATATTATTCGGTATTTAAATTGATACTGATAATTTTTGGCATCAATCCAATGATATTGAGAAACGCAGATTTTTAATGTCGAACATAAAGCTTGAGTTAACACAATAGAAACTAGTAACTGCATTCATAAGCGCTAATTTCGAGTTTTTCGCACCACTCAGCGTCGAATCCGTTGCATTACTGTCAAAATATCTGTCATTTTTGTGACATCTTTTCACTGGACGCCCCTGTCAAAGGATTAGCGATACGCAGCCCCATTACATCTTCATTACGGTAGGCGGCTGACATACCCCGATACATTGTAACAATAAAATATGTTATTGTTATTATATTTGTCACGGGATTCAGTTTATTCGATACGCGCATGATCTCGTCTTACAATGAACAGATGCGCACTACATTTGTTGACGTTCATCTATCAATGAATACGATAATAAGTATCACATTATTATCTTTATGAATGGGTATTTTAAATTAAGCTCAGCACTATTCGTATTATCTGTCGTCTCTTGTTTTATGAAATCGCAAAATAAAACAAAACAATGCGTGTCACTGATTAAAAGCTCTAATACCTATAGCTGCTGTATCGCCAAATGTTGATGGTATTCTTACCGTATTAAATTTTTGTATGTTACTTATAAGTTTTAAAAACTCTCATTAATAATTCCCTGTATCTATATGATAATAAAAATATCAAAGTGACAACTGCGCAAGTAGCTATGTATGAATTGTATCAGATTGCTTATAATAACAATTTGATGGCATCTGTCTGACAGATATCAATACTCGTATAACACCTGGAGGGATCGATTTAATAGAATATCGATTTATTAGCTTCCAAAGAGTTTGTGGTTAACAAATCATAAGTGTTTGCCGTTTGTTTGTTTCGATTAGTAACTTAATTGCTACGTATAAGTATTTGAAGTCTATTGCCTTGTTTAGCCAGATAAAAGAGTTCGAAAATGCACTGTATCATGTGCAGTAGACTGTACATACTGTAATCTTTACTTCACATAAAACAAAGTCGCTCCCGCTGTTTGTTCGATTATAGATATTTTATAATGGATTAATATAATGCAGTTTTCGACAAAAATAGTGTTATTTAAGAGTAAGGTTTAGCAAAGCTGGGGCAGTTAACTATAATTAAAACTTAATTACTTAACAAAACCTCCCAATTAACGTAACAAATTACCAAAAATTAATTTCCATTCAGCAGCGGTATCAAAATTGGTGCCTTCGAGAAAAAACCCGTCATAAATATTGACACCAAAGGGCTCGCACCCTAACTAAACATTCTTATTATTAACGCAGACACTTATCGGGTGATCTTACACCGATGCACAATGGGGGCTAATCCCCGAGTGATAGGAACTTATCTTCGGATATCGTTATTGTCGCTCTCCCTTGTATTCCCGTTACGATTATTTGAAAACCTTTGAGAAAACCTTCAAATGTTTGGGAGCAATGAGCATTTTTGTAGTATAGAAAATAAGTAAGTACAAGTAGCTCAGGTGAAATCGAAATTAACTAAGTACAGTCGTCCAATCAATATAATTTAGGTCTCTGTGTTTAGCTTGATTTGCCATATTTTAAGTTAGAACACATTCGAGACATCTACTTGTACTTCTACAATATTTCTTACATTATTTTAATGTTACTTATCCATTTTGCAATACAAGCACGTTGTTGCGTTAATCCTAATTTCATTGATATTTCAAGAACACATAACTCAACTGAAACAATTCTTAATAAAAGTATAGTTTCCACTTGTACTTGTTCGGGCCATTCGTAGTTTACTCACGAATCGTCTTTGCGGCTTCTTATTTACACCAATATTTTTCCCAACGAATTCTTGTTCGCAAAACAGCGCGGGCGTGCACAGTGGGGCAATATTTCATCTGAGCTGGCCAGCACAATAATAGCCCGTGGAGTTGAAGCCACGGCACGTTCGCACCACAATGTTACC